ACTTTATTGGTCAATCGGACATAAAGATAATTTTAATACCGCGACACTCATGAAATTATGTAAAACACACTTAAAACTGTCTGGAATTTGACATATAATGTCATTATTATAAGAGCGTGAATCTGCCAAATTTCCAAAGATGATGAGATGCAAATAATATCTGAAAGGCAAATACATACTTGATAAATAGTTTTTATCGCCAACCATCATTACCCGAGTAAAAATGCAACGAGAGCAAGGCGTAAATTCATAAAAACTCATGGAGAAAATGGAAATCGGGGAATATCATCTAGTAACGCATTGAAGCGTATTTATTTATTTTTACCTCGATTTTTACCAAGAAACAAATTGTCAGCGGCGGATTTAGGATTCCTTCTAGGGGGGGGCGATCCATCAGGGCCTCAGGCTCAGATAAGAAATAATAAAAAAACGACTTAAATATACAGAGTGGCAAAAAGTCGCGTATAATACCTGTAACTTTCTAATTACCTCGTATACGAAAAAGTGACCTTAATGAAAGTTGCTCAGTAAATTAGGGACATAAAGCTTCCGTATTTTTTGCTCGGTATCCGTATCGGTATCGTACTGCGCATGTGCAGAAGTATCGTACTGCGCATGTGCAGAAGCGATACTGAGGCCGAGATACCGTACGTACAACGTAACGTTACGGCCCTCTCGCGGTATCCGTATCGGTAACGTATCTTGACATTCCTGACGCATGTGTCAAATTTCAAATGAATATAACCTCCCTTTTCTCCCGGGTTGATTTAATTTGTTTAGTTTTTACTTTCTTGAGTTTCTTGTGTTTAGTGCTTCTCTATCGCAAAAAAAATAACAATTTTAAGGTTAGATATAAAAACGCCGAAGTTTTGAGACAAAAATGTCTAGGTTATGAAATGCGTTTACGTTTACCGGAACAGGGAGCGCTTTAACAGCCTTTTCGCTTGTCAACGTATCTAGTTGCGTTACGGATACCGATACCGATGAATTATTTCAAGTAGCTTTATGTCCCTAATATTTCCCACAATTCTACTTAAACGTATTGCCTGTGTCACTTCTGGTTTGTTTGCTATCTAGACCAACTTTCTTTTTTTCAAATAAAACACCCTGTATGTGATTGCATATTTGGATTCTACGTAAAATTCTGAGCAGATTTCATGTGATATACCCTATACCTAAGTTCAACTGTTTTGGAAATATTGACAGTTGAACATTGACTTTTTGCAACTTTGACAGGCTGTAAAACCTGAACGGTTAATTTCAGAGGAAAACCGATTTCAGATTCCTGTCTTAGATTTTCATAAACTATCATTTGACATCAACATTTAATTTAATCGGAGATTAAATTTAATTGGAATTTTCAATTATAGATTAAATTCAAAGTTGGTGCGGATTTACGTCATCCGCAGTCGATTCGCTCCCAGCTCGCTGCTGCCAAACGTATTTAAAAGTATTAAAAATTTGGAAAAAATAGCAAAAACCATATGGAATTTCATGTTGGATAATGCTTGATGAATATGTTTGTGTTTTCGTTAAAAATTTCGTTGTTGCGTCGCTCAATAGGGGGGGGGCGCGCGCCCCCCGCGCCCCCCCTCTAAATCCGCCACTGCAAATTGTTTAAACGAAAGAAAAGGAAAGATATTCAATTCGGAATTTGGGTAAAAGCTACTGAAAAATTTGAGTAATGTAAAAACGTCATAACCGAACGCTTGTAGGTACTGCTTGTAGATAAAATATTGAAAATAATCACCCCTTGCCTTCTGCAAAATCTCATTGGTATGCCGTATCTGCATATTACCAATCATATTACTGAGTCAATTACTAAGATGTCAGAAAATATCGTCTTTAAAATTGTACAGTGCATTATTAACTAATAATATTGCTTACTTAATTTCTTTTGCTATTAGTGCATGCTCGCTAAAATGTTTTGGATAAAAACATGTCGAAATCAATATAAACAAATATTATTTAAAACTTAGTACGCTATTAGGCTATTAGCTTTAATTATATCTTAACAACATGCTAATTATGATGTGATTAATTTAGCTGTTCACTTGAAAATATTAGTAACAAAATAATTTAATTAACTTGTTGTTTATTTGTTTTATTGGTGACCAGGGTTTTTATTTTGTGAAATAATAGGCAGATAAATGATAGAAATGTTCATATAGAGTTGTCTTCCAGTTAAATGCGATTAATTGGGAGTTTTTTCTTGAATGGCAATAATGAATGATGTTTGTAATCTTGACTTTTTCATGCTGGTCAAATGTAGACATTAGAATAAAATCTGGTCACTCTTCTATTCAGATCTGCATATCCAGTTAGTTTTCATTAGGCTTAATCGGGAAAAACTCAAGGTGTATGTTTTCATAGATGATGCGCATCACATTTCAAGCGTTATGGAAACACTTAAGCCTCGACTCAAGCTTGATATAAATAAAAATTTCTTGAAAACAAATTTGATTTTCCTGGAATAAATCATTTTATATGTAATTATCATATTTATAATATTTTGCTGCTGAGCTTCTCAACTATTATAAATATGCATTTCAATTTTTTTTAACGTTAAGTATGTAGGTATGTTGATTTTGGAAGACGATATACATCGTCCATACTTCACAAAATTCACCAATCACTTATCGCTTCTACTAAACTTTATTCAACTACTCTCTTATAAAAATTGACAGGACCTACAAACTAGACGCGTAGTTTCACAAAGCGAGTTAACCGAGTAATGCACGCACATATTTTAATGCAAGTGATAAAGTTCCAATTTGAACCAGAAAAATGAATTTAAATAATTCCTGTTTAAACAGTTCAGGGTAGATAAAATCATGTTTAATGGCTTTTCCGCTTTTATGCACTCTGTGTTTATTAGTATGGCCTGTTTGGCTAGTGAATAACTAGGCTTTGGTGTAGACATATTTTAAAGCGACCTGAACTGGGGTGATTTTGGAATATTTCTTGCTGCGAGCAGTTAATAATGGTAAAAATACATGCATAATTATTCAAAATAATGCATCATCGAATATCTTCCCGACGTTGTTGCTGCAACTACAGAGTTGAAGTCACATAGATGTGACTTATAGCGCTTATAAAGTGGGAAACAAAACCTGGAGCAGTTTTTCTTTTGATTGATGTAACACATACTCTGTACTTAAGTGTTAACTTCCAGAAGTCCATACTTCCAGAATATAGTTAGGTAGGAATTTGAAATATGATGAATCATTTCAAATAACCCTGTATACAAGGGTGCAAAAATTAAATTGACCAAATTGACTGATTGACCAAATCTGTGCTTTGGAAAAAAGTAAAGGAAGTATTTAGGTTTGTACCGAACAAACATTTGAATAATAATTATTAGAATTTATTATCATTCAATTATTATCTTCCTCTGTCATAAAGAATTTAATTTAAATTTTATTCCTTGAGCTTGGATATACATAAATGGTTTGTACTTCGTACATACTAAAACAAGAGTCAGAGAAAACTAGGACATAGTATTGATTTGTTTTAGTCTCGTTAAACTGATGTGTAGCTATTGCCTTTTCAACTTTCATTTGTATTTTTAGTTCACATATTCTGAAGTTTCAAAACTTGGATATAAGAATGGAGGAGTTTGATAGTAGAATCTGTTGTATGGGAAAGTATTTTGAAGTGTAAAATTTTGACGATTATCCAAGTTAATTAATGCATTTCATTTTCATTATTAAATATTCATCCAGGGACCCTTAATTTTTGTTCGCTTGACTCAATGATCTGACACTGTTTCAGAAAATTTGAATGAATAACAAGGGAATTGCATAAATTTTTTCTGAACGAGCAGTCCAGTTAATTTTCGTATGTTAAGCGGAAGAAGGGCAAAATGTTCGATATGTTTGTCTGTTTGTATAGCCATCAACTGCTCTTTCTTTACTTTTTCCGCCCGGAATCTAAGTATACATATATGAACATAATGGAATATTTTGTTGTGTTATACATTTTGCAAGGAAATGTTCCAGTTAAGGTTGTTTTGCTGTTTTCATAAGGAAGTGATAAGGAATTAATGAATGTTTAATAGAAGAATTTTTGTTATTGAAAATTGGAAATGTGTGGCAATAAAGAATTTTTGCATTTTTGAGTTTTTTTGATAAAAATACCAAGCACTATTTAAATATATTTTGTAGTTCCTAAGCATTAAAAAAAAAATAACTTTTTTGGCGCACCCTGTATACTTATGGCGACAGAAAAGTATCGTTGTAGCGTTTAAGAGTGAGTTTTAAGTATGGAACGTCTCAACTATCTCGAAAAACGGCTTGCACGATTTTTATGAATTTTGGTTTGGAAGAGTATTGTAATATGGCCGATCATGTGGTAGTATTTACATGGTTGTCAGATCTTTCGTTTTTTTGGGAAATATCCAAAACATTGTTTTTTCAAATGGATCACCCTCTATACTAGGACATTTCTCGTTTCTGCGGAAAATTCTAGACATTTTTCTGTTTCGGAGATATTGACGACTGTAAAACCTAAACCGTTGATTTTATAAACTATCATTTGACACCAACTTTGAATTTAGTCCATGTCCGGACCGTGGTTCCGATACATCTAGGACATCGGAAAGTTGGTCGTACCGGATGTATTGCGTGCCATCGGGATTAAACTGCTGCCATATTTCGTAGTACATAGTGTCTGCCCAGCGAGTCTGTGTCTACGGGGCAACGGTAAGGCGAATGCAGTTGTAAAAAAAAATGGCTGATTTCATTCATAAAATACCCAGCTGCGTGCGGAACTTTTTGGAATTCTTATCTTATTGCAACTCGTACACGGAAATCGATAATGACGAAACCCCCGCCACTGGATATTTCAATATAAATCGACATTTCAAGATGGGAGGATACAATGACGGGAGCCCTGGCCAATAGCGAGACGTAAGGTGACGTTAGCACATTGACAACCGCATGGTTCCCAGTGGCAACAGCAATCCTGCCAAAAACTCCACCAATCAGGTTCATCCAGGCCGGATGCTTGCCAAATTGACAAAAGCTGATGGTATCTTTAGAAAATGTCTATTTTTTCAATAACCAAATTGAAGAAATCAGAAATTAAAATAGGAATAGATCGAACAACAACGTTAAAATATTTAGCGTTTTATTATTGTTATCTATATTTTGTTATCAAAAAATGGATTTTCAAATGAACTATACTTAATGCCTGGTATTTTCGCTTTTTTATTATTAAAAGTGACAACATCGCACACTTACGTCCGAATTCCTTCCGTAGACTCAGAACCGCTGGGCAAACAATACATATCTTCGTCTTTGGTAGCTTGCGAGTAGTTTTCTAAGATGACCGCAATATACCTGTTTATTACTATCAAACACGATATAACCAGGTAGCTTAGAAGAAAGGCTATTCCAATAGTCGAGTTGCCGCAGTTTCCAGTCTCTCCTATCTCGCTGTCTGGCTGTTTGCAGTCTTCTTCATTTATTATTCCATCCAAGGCACCATCCCACCCTGCTGAAGTGGACATCTGAAATTATAATACTTAGTCAAGTCCCGCATGAGTTACCATAGAAGACTCACCTGGAAAAGCAGAATCATGGATTGTCCAAAAGTCTTAAAATTATAGACATCGTCGAGGCCGCTCTTATCTTTGACGTGCATGAAAAATGACGTGCCGAAAATGGCAAAGATGAACATAACCAAGAAGAGCAGCAAACAGATGATGAAGAGGGCAGGCAGTGACATAGCGAGTGCGAAGAGCTGAGTACGGATTCCTTTTGCTCCTTTCACCAGCCTAAGCACTCTTTCGACTTTTGCTACGCGCACTACCCTGAGCAACGTCGGGGATACAAAATATGTCTCGATAATGTCACTGAGCACTTGTCCCAAAATTGATAAAATTACTACTACTAAGTAAATCAGAACTTTGATGAACGTCTCTTTTTGTTAATAATGGTCCATACTCATTGTCAACATATTTAGTCCTATAATCAACATGATTATCATGTCGAACTTCTTCTTTGTCACTATTTCATTTCAAACACTATCGCTTGGGGTTATATCTTAAACTTCCACTTACTTGAAAATTACCCAAATACTACCTACTCTTACACAAAATCTCAGAGTAACACAAAACTTCAGTTTTTAACTAGAGAAATAGGAGTGTCATCTGGCCCACTACCTAATCTATTCCTCAAAGAAGCAATTTTGTTGAAAACATCAATTACATATTTCAATTTGAAATGAATTTATGGTAGAATTGGTGCAAGGAGTATTTAAGATTGTATTTTGATTTTTGAATTTCATCCGAATCAGAATTAGTATAAACAGTAGCAAAGTAGTCTTTGAATAAGTTCACTATCTCATTAGGAGAATTGCCGTCCCTATTCTCATGAAACATCGAACTTGGAAAGTCACTATTCTCTTTTTTGGACCGGATGAACCTCCAAAATCCTTTCCCGTATTTCAGACTCCATTTGATTGATATAGTTTTTGTGACTAATAGCTGAATAATTTCGATTATACAACTCACTGTACATTATTCCCATATGACACGAAAGGCTTAACAAGTGATAAGCCTTTTGGGATTATCGCGCTTGGTGGCATTTATGGCAAATTCTATTATAGAAAATTTTTAAAATTTCAAAGTATTCAAGTTTAGTTCGTTGTATAATCTTTTGAATACCACTCGATGTTTCAGGATTACCTAATACTTTTACCTGACACTCATGACTTCGTGACAGGTAAAAGTATTATCCGGTAATCCTGAAACCTCTTGTGGTATTACATTCGATAATCCGCTCTAAGTTTTGAAAAAACCTGATAATCAAGAGCAAAGATTTCTTTATAGGTTATGTGCGCCTTTTTTTCAAAATTATTAAGTTTTTTAGGTGTGCGTCTATCCATTTTGGGAATGTAGGCTTTTTGCATCGAGATAGAGGTGGAAATATCTTTACCTACGAGCGTGCGGTAAAGTGCACTTTACCGCACTTATTTGCAAATGGAAAGCAGCACTTTACCGCATAGTATGCGGTAAAGTGGACTGCGAAGTGTGCAGTAAAGTTAACTTTACCGCATAGTATGCGGTCATAAATTAGTTGATTTATGTTATTCCAGCCAACTTGAATCTCAAACTCAACAGCTGGATGAGGAGTATCCAATTTTAACAAAGGGTTATTAGAAAGCAACAAGTTTGGTTTTTCATTGTTAAAAAAAATCAAATCAAGGCAATTTCCTTGGATTGTAATTTCCATAAACATTTGATATAGTATTCACTTGAAATAACCTAAAAAGTGTGAATTCTTTTCGCGACCTGAGTGCAGAGCTGGGCAAGCTACTTGGAAAAAGTAGCTAGCTACAAGCTACAAGCTACTTTATATTGTAAGTAGCTAAGTTACTCAGTAGCTCAACTACCTCTTTGAATTAGTGAAAGCTACTATTTAAGCTACTTTTATGAAAGTTAAATTGATAAAAACAAAAAAGCGTGCACAATCGCCACCATCAATGTACATACCTACCTTACCTAATTTAATTTCATAATATCATCATACGAAAATAACATATTAACTTTCTCTAAGAAGTAGTATTCATATTTTTGTCAAAAACCACTGGATATTAATTTATTAGGTTCACTTTGATCACAGTGATCTGCGAATGCGAGAATAAAATAGGACACATAAAACCGAGCATAAAACATAGGTACCTACCTACAGAGATACCTAGAAACTAGTCTAAGCTAGGCATGATAAGAATTTTCCGGAAAATGATAATTGTAGCTTGAGCAATTAAAACATAAAGTTACTTTTATCGAGCGGAAAATTCAAACGCGGGCGATAGGTTGGTGGAAACGTGCCTTTATAAGGGGAAAACTGTTTATTTTTGAAAACAATGTCGAATGGATGCCATTATATTATAGGTATAGTCATTTCATTTTTGAACTAGAAGAGTCCGCTGCGCATAACGTTATAAGTATTTTGGGCGTTAAGTATCGTTGACCACACCCTCAGGCGGTAAATGACACTTTCCGCCATTAATTCCTAAAAACTATTAACTATCTACCAAAAGTAGCTCAAGTAGCTTGTTTTAGTAGCTAGCTACTTTTCACAGTAGCTTATGAATACTTGAAACACATTACCAAAAGCTACAGCTACCAGCTACTTTTTTTTCAAAGTAGCTTGAATAAGTTATTAGCTACCAAAAAAGTAGCTAAGCTAGTAGGTCAACTACTTGGTAGCTAGCTACTGCCCAGCTCTGCCTGAGTGCATCTTATCTTATTCAATTTGTTAGCTGGATATAGGTCAAAAAACACTCTTCAGACGATCAATAATATACTTTGTCGACGTTTCGATCTCATGAGGTCATCCTCAGGGACCTCAGGACTATACCTATGTAGCAGATTATCCTCGCTAAATTTGAAACCATAATAATGTTCATGGTACTTTTTGAGAAATTTAACAACTGGGTTGCGTTTAGAAATAACACTCTGGGTGTGAGAGTGCCCCTTAAGTAACTCTAAACCGTTCATTACAATGGTTTCATGCAATGAACTATAACTAAAAACTGGAATGCGCACACATATTGACGAACGTGAAGCCTAGTGCCGCTGCTGCGGAGGGGATACCTGTTTTTGTCGCACTCATTATGTTAAATGGCGAAAATTGCTTCCAACACTTATTCCAATTGATGAAACCTGTGAAGGTAAATATGACAAAACTTGCCAAACCGTTCTATGTCAGCGAGCAACAGAAAAATACAACATTCCCCTTTGTGGCATCTGTCTTTCATGGCTTCATTTTTTTGGCAGATATGGCAATGTGTGCGCCAATGAACTATAACCAAAAACTGGAATGCTAACACAGAAGGACGAACGTGAAGCCTAGTGCGGCTGCTGCGGAGGGGATACCTGTTTTTGTCGCACTCATTATGTTAAATGGCGAAAATTGCTTCCAACACGTATTCCAATTGATGAAACCTGTGAAGGGAAATATGACAAAACTTTCGAAAACGTCATATGTCAGCGAGCAACAGAAAAAGAAAACATTCCCCGTTGTGGCATCTGTCTTTCATGGCTTCATTTTTTTTGGCAGATATGGCACTGTGTGCGCATTCCAGTTTTGAGTTCTAGTTCATTGGTGTGCGCATTCCAGTTTTTGGCTATAGTTCATTGGTTTCATGCGATCCATGACATTGATATTTACCGCAACCAATGAACTATAGTCAAAAACTGGAATGCGCACACATTGCCATATATGCCAAAAAAATATAGCCATGAAAGACAGATGCCACAAAGGGGAATGTTGTTTTTTTCTGTTGCTCGCTGACATGACGTTTTGAAAAGTTTTGTCATATTTACCTTCACAGGTTTCATCAATTGGAATACGTGTTGAAAGCAATTTTCGCCATTTAACATAATGAGTGCGACAAAAACAGGTATCCCCTCCGCAGCAGCGGCACTAGGCTTCACGTTCGTCAATATGTGTGCGCATTCCAGTTTTTGGTTATAGTTCATTGACCGCAACGCCCCAATACGTTCAGAAATAGCGCACCCAGAGTGCATTCCAAGTGATGACGTCAGAACACCCTGACAAACAACTACCCTACCTTCACACTCAATTTCTAAATGCACTCCTGGTGTTAAATTTTATCACCCATATACCTAGTATAGTCAGAAAATTGAAATATTAGACTAAAAAACAAGTACCTTTCCATTTTTCCAATTTTCATGAACATTATTATGGTTTCAAATTTAGTGAAGATGAATCTGCTATATACAGGGTGATTCAAATTCAATGCTGTTCATTGGGACCTTGGTAAGAGATACGAGGTCAGTTAACTGAAGACAAAGTTGCGCAGTTTCTTGCTCAACAAAATGCCGCTTCGATATAAGGAAAACCCGAAATGTTGCAAAATCGTTTTTATTTATTTTTTCTTGGGCTGATTTGAAGAGATTTTTCAAAATAAACTTTTTTTTCTACTTATACGGACCTGTATTATTAATTATTATTATTTTTTGAGCCTATTTTACACATTAAGGCACTGACTTATCATGCCCATCGGTACATTTTAATTTTTCAGAAAAATATCGCATCTAAAGCTGTGTCTAAAGTATGTACATAAATCTACAAGTCTGGAGCACTTAAAATACAGCACATTTCCGTCCCATTCCCATTTCTTGAGGTTTACCCTCATACCGCCATTTGTTGTGGAGTACTGGATTCACATGATTGCCTTAAAAATACTTCTAACACAAATATCTCGACAAATATCATGCAATATTTTTTTTTTCGAAACAACAATAAATAGTTCTTAACGTTATTAGGCCGATAAATAGCAAATAACGGCCGGACTGGAATTTTTAAATGGCGTCAACACAAAAAAACAGAAAATGTACAAACAATGTTACCTTATCCCAAAAACTTATTGCCATTACATATTCAAAATTTCTCTTACCCTATAAAAAGAAACTTAAACAAATGCTAATTAATATTTGTATATAAACGATATAACACAAACACTTTAAAGCTATTGACTTTTTAATGGCTTGACGTAAATCCTAATATTCATCATATACATTAGACATAGTTGAGTCTTAATCCCAATGGAAAACTCGAGG